CTGGCTTGTAATATCCCTTGCTGTACGGATGAAAGAATAATCTCTCACCTTTTTTGTTTCATTTTCTCATTTTTGTTATCCTTCTTGTATGACAGAAGAGGACGAGGAGGAGGCCAATTTATTTCCTCTTCCATTTGCAGGGCACTAGGATAAGTATACCTCTCTTGTCCCTCATGTTCTAGTATGGTTTTTCCTGTCCCTTTGGGAATAGCATATTTGGGGCTTTTCCGACCTAGTTCATCATCTTTCTCATCTGAACTTTCTTCTGATTCATCTTGTGTTGGCAATGGCTCTAAAAACTGATTTTATCAATGACCAAGTAGGCCAAATGGAGATAGGCATAGGAACCCCTTTTTGATGCAATTTCTTAGGTCGCTCCCTACTTTTTCCCACTGTTGTAAATCTAATGTGCCCAGGGTGGGAAACCAAGTACAATGTTTTTCAATAGTCATCAATAGTCTAAAATATGTCCTTCACTTGTTTTAGCTCCCCCTGCTTTAAGCAGCTGCTTCAAAAGGCATACATACGGCTGCTACTGGCCTGAGCTTTCTATATTTCCCATTTTTACCCTGATTAAATTCCCGAGACAATCCTTACCGGCAACGGATTCTTGAGGCCTCTTTTTCCTCTCGGGGTCCTGTGGCGCTTCCCAAGCTTCGGTTTCACTCCGGTGAATCTCCATCCGCTCCAGGTCCCTGTTCGGGAGCCACTTGTTGCGGCCAGCACAATGGTTCCTGTAAACGGACGGGTGACGCAGCACTTAAGACAGACAGACACAAGAGTAAGATCAAAGATGGGACCGGAGGACTCAAGACCTCATGGATCAAGAGCCCTGAATGCCCGGTCTGCATCGTATTTATTATGATTCTCTAGCACGAAATAACCTAAGAATAGTTCTGAGGATTATTGAAGCCTAATAGCAGCCAGCAGGCCCCCGGCACTCTAGATTAGTTATTAAAAGAGTCATCATCCTGTCTCCTCCTGGCTTCATTCTTCTGACTTGTAAATAGGTCAGGGCTGTGCCACAGATAACCTTTTACCACCCTTTAGCAAATGGCAGGGTGTAGGTGCCAGAGCAGTTTTCTGCTCATGTTAGCTCAGTTTTCTGAGACTAACATTGTTTGCCTCCAAGAAGCATCTGGTTTCTGTTTAACAGCCTTAACCTGTCACAAGGGAACTTTGTATATTCCTTATTCTTTAGGAGACATCACATTGTTCTGTATTCCCACAGAGGGGAGGAGAGGTGGCTAGGAATCATGCAGCCAGAGGACAATGTCCCACCTCAGTGTTAGTGACCCTGATCCCCACCCAGCAGGTCAGCCCCTTCCCTGAGATCACAGTTACCATGTGGTGGGGCTGAGCCCGCTTGCCTGCCCTTAGGAGTCAGAGGGGCAGGGGGCTGAGTGTGAGTGGAGCAGGGACCTCAAACCCAGAAAGATCATCTGGTCACTGTCCCGTCACCCTACCTGCCTTGTGCCTGCTGGGCCAGCTGGCTCAGGGCTGTCTGGCTGTAGATCTTTGGAGGGTGATGGCTCTTACGTCTCACACACTCTTGGGTGGCATGGCTGCCAGGAGTCCTTGTGGGGAGAGTGTGG